GCTAATGTAAATCAGCTACAAACAGCTTATTTTGCATGTTTACTAAATATTTCTCTTTTTATTTATTTTGTTTATTTACCCTTTTTTTATTAACAAAGCAGTTAAAAGTATAGTTTTATAAGCATTTTTTATATTGCTGCACTAATAACAAACTTTAAAAAGCTAGCAATTTTAAATATAAAAAATCAAGTATTAACTAAACACTTTATAATTTAATAGCTATATAACAAGTTAAAAAAAGTTACTAGTATATATATTATAAATAAACCAAAGTATTTATTTCTTCTTTTATAAAAAAAAAACTAAAAAGCACAGTTTGTTACTTTATAAATTAAAAAAAAAGCAGAAACAGCTGCAAAAAAAGCAAAAGCTGCAAAAAAAGCAAAAGCTGCTAAAAAAGCTGCTAAAAAAAGCAAAATTAAAAAAAAGCTTAAACTTATTAAATTAAAAAACTCTGATTTTAATAAAAACCGATTAATTTTTTTTGTACTTATGTTTAACTCTTTGTTTTCAAACAGTAGCTTAAGCTTAATACTTAGTTCGTTTTATTGCAATCTAAATATTATATCTTTTAACAAACTTACACATACTAAATCAATAAAAACCTTATATAACTTCCGCTTTCAATTATTTCTACTGTTTTTTCTACCTTTTAATCAATCAGCTACATCTACTAGCCAACCTTTTTTTTCTTTTCGACCTAGCTACTACAAACCGCTACTATCTAAGTATAATATACTCCAATATAAAGCTAATATTAAATATAATTATATCATAGCTCTAGATTATTTTAGTAACAACTCTAATATTAAAAAAGCGAAAAATCTAGCTTTAAAAAACATTAAAAGCTTATATCGTTAATTACAAAAAAAATAAATCGATTTAACAAAGCAACTTCAACTTATTACGCCTATAAAATAGCAAAGTTAAAGCTAATACAAAGTCAATATATAAACTGTTAAAAAAGCTAATAAAGTTTTTCGCAAAGTTAAAAAATAAAAACAGCAGCGTAAAACTAAACCACTTGTTAAATTAAACAAATCAAAAAAACAAGTCTACTAGTCTAAGCTTTAAAATTAAAAAAATTAAGTTAATTTACACGTTAATTTCTACATCTACTGCTGTATTTCTAGTTTGCTAAAAAATTTGCGTTGCATTCATTTTTATTTAATTTGTTTTAAGTTAAAAATATATTAAAAACAGCTACACTTTAACTAAAAAAAATTAAAACAGTATAAATAACCTAACTACATAAAAGTTAAATTAATTAAGTTATCAAAACTTAGTTTTTTTTTTTTTTTATTTAAAATAATTAGCTTATAGCTAGTTAAAAATAGCTAGCACGCTTTTTAAGCGGCCCTTTTCAAAGGTCCGCTACACCCGAATATACATTTGCATCACTTATTTACTATTTTTCTAAGCCTCAAATCTCTAGAAGTGATCTATATAACATTGTGGTCGGTCCTTTAAAGTGCGTAGTGTGTATGTGTTACATACTTCGTTTCAATAGTCTCGGATAATCTAGTGTCTCGTTTTAGCAGTGTGCTATCCCTCTTCGCACGACACACAAGTAGTAAAATATGTATGATGTCATGTTCCCGTGATGCATGAGAAAACAGGAATACATTGGCCATTTACTAGCCGGGATTTAAATATTTGAAAGGAGGCAGGGTTTTAACTCTCCATATCTTTGAGACAAAGGAAACGATGCTGTACGGACTATAACTAGCAATACTAGTATATGTTACAGTAGCTTTCTGAGGAAAATTATCTATAAACACTATCAATCCTGTTCTCTGCTTTAGTCTTAGTTCTCGGGGTAGAAATGAGAATTTTCTTCGGTTGAAAATAGAGATCCGTTTACTCATAATTTATATTGTCAAATAGTTCGTTTTATGCTGGCTGGAGCAGGTTTTTCATTTTACTTAGATATAATTACGGTCTATGCTACTAAGTGTACCCATCCACCAGATCCCGTCCTATTCACTCACGCTACATCAAGTTATACATTCAAAATTTTAGCAGCAGATAACTTTAGATTATTCGATGGAAGGCGTCACACCGAGCTAGAATCAGGCCACACAATCGCACCAGCTCCTGTTTAGGATTGAGACATATACACTAAAGCCTAGAAGGCAACAAGAAGCGAAAACATAGCCAGTAGGAAATCAGGTTACAAGTACGCTAGAATTCAGAGGCTCCTAAGGACTCTTACTACTGTAGAAAATTACTGTAAGTATGAATATCCTTTCAGGCCCTTACTATAGCAGGTGCTATCCACTAATAGCTGATATTGAGTCCTCTATTAGTTCTTATAGTGATGCTTCGAGGTGGGGTCCTATGGTTAATCTTGTTACAAGATAACTTTAGTTGTGGTGACTCTATAGTTATAATTACGTGTTAGCCAAATATATTAGCAGCATATTTTAACATAGGGTATGAGTTGAACACCTGGCTACAGTTGATATTAACCAAAGTCGCCACGTTTATCTCAGGTATGTGTAGCTTAGAAGCCCCTATGAAGCAAATATGTTAAATCTCCTAACAGTAATGGCCGCAATCGCAACTATTCTGAGTTCTATTGTCGAATATAATGGGCTAAGACTATGAATGGTTATCATAGTAAATGGTTAGTGTAGCTATGTCCTCTAACAATCTGATGAACAAACATATACCTTATCTCCAAAATATAAAGAACGCCGACGCCGCTTGTTGTGATTACTTCACGAAATATAAAACATCATTGGGGATATTCTTCAATTTCGGGTTTACTATATCTGACGTATCTACGAAAACGTGGTAGGTTATTTTACTCTGTGAGCCATGGAAGGGATTCCACGATATTACCCATCCGCAATCTCTAGCAAGGGATGCTAACTTCACCTACAGCTTTCACGCTGCAGCGCCCAATCTAGCCTCGAGGCATATCATCATATCAAAAATTGTCTTACATCAATCTAGGAAAGTTATGGAGGACCGAGTAAGAATTAAGAACGAGCCGGTTTTTTTTTATAAAACGGAGAAAATTTCTCTAGTAAAGCTTGCTAATTCGAGCAAACAGAATTTCATCCTCAGCTTGCCATCCGAACTTCGCCTTATTATATATGAATTCGCCGTAATCGAACGCGTCACGGGACCGCGTACTTGCCCTAGCAGTAGTTTTATTCTCAGCCTAGTCCCTCCGAATCTAGCCAGGGTCAACAGACAGTTGCGTCAAGAGGTGCGCCCCGTATATTACCGCGGGAATGAATTCTGGGTCCAACTGCCTACTTGTCAAGATCACATCCGCGATTCATTTTTCGCGCAGTGCATGATCGCCGTAGACTTTCTACCGTTGATCAGAAGCCTGCGCTGCGAGGTTTATCTAGTGCCATCACGGGACTGGTCTATTGTCTTCCAAACAGCTGCGAGCGCGCCAACGAGTGAAGGAAAGGACAGCGAAGACTGGAAACATCTGAGCCGTAACCATGACGCTTACTGTTGAAGTAGGGAGGCTGGTAATTCTGGTGGCTGGGTACTTCGCTCCACACACACCTGCTATATATTATGGAGGTACCACCTCCATAACCTGTACCTAGACTAGTTCCTCAATGCATTATCCAATATAGTACATCTACTGCCATTCTCATAACTCAACACTTACTGGAGCATGCTAGAAGATATGCTACGGAACATGACGTTCCAGGAACTTTGTATGTATGCAAATTCTATCTGTCGCCATAACGAGGTATACACTCTTGCTGTGAGCGATGCACTAGGCTTCATCGCAAAGCAGAGCCTTCTGGGAAATCATCCTATAGAAGCCATCTTTTGCAGCAGAAAGAAAGACTAAAGGAGGCGACGAGGAAGTGGTAGCTCGTGTTACTTAGCACCCAGAACCTCCATACTTGCTCTAATACTCTTCTTTTAATATGTAGTGAATTATTAGCTACCTACACCTAACGAGGCGTATTCCGACGTAGGTTGTTATTTCGCCTTTCTCCCTTTCTTAAGTACCTTTCGAGGCTATTTCCATTCTATATTCTGTAGATTGGTGATATTTAGGAGTGAGATACTATCTCAAAATGCGTCGACTTAACTCTATGTTTAGTTTAGGTTTATTATATCCTAAGCTTTTCATAGCGTCGAGTTGTTTCCGAACAGAGTGTTATGCTTCTGAATCATAGCAGGTGAGAAATCTGCAAGCAAGTCAGCTAAAAGAAGAAATCAAATAGCGAAGATATTTCCAGTGAGGCAATTTTAACGATATAGAAATATTATTCTAGGACATCTAGTGAGATTTCTCGTATTCCCCTGGCTTTGGATGATATCTATCTTTACCATGGGTACACAGCAACTCTAGCGGCTGTTGACTTCCTTGAGACTTGAGTGACTTTAAGAAGAAAGGTAGGACTGAAATCTGTATGCTTTTTCAAGGAATAAACCACCAGAAAGCATGGATGTGCTCAAAGGTTAGTGTCTTCCGGTCTACTTCTATATCATTGGTTTCAATATCCAATCAAGTCCAATATAATACCAACAGCCAATCCATTGATACTACATTCCAGTTATACAGAGAACAAGATTCCACTCCAATACACCTATACTTTAATATATTTCTTTAACTTTGTTTCACGATGAACATACTAATGTTACTATAACCAGAAAGAAGGCTTTTGTCTCTTGAAAAAAAACCGAGGATAGTAATACTATAGCGGCAAGTGAAAAAGAACTAATCATGTCAGCAGTGGAAAAACCCCAGTGCCTCAGAGGCTATCTGATCTATTTATATAACAGGTGCCTCAATACTATGCACAGCGTCTGTGTCAATCGCCCTGGTCATCACCTCCTGTTTTCTCCTGATAACAAAATGAAAGTAAAAGGAGAGCAAAACAGCAAAATTTAACTTAATCACTCCGAATCGGGGAATCGAACCCCGGGCTTGACGGTGCTGTCTTGTTAACAAGGATGAGAGCGTCAAATGTTAGCCACTACACCAATTCGGACTTGAGAAATAGTTCTGCCCACTAGCGGAATCGAACCGCTGATCTTGTCATGACATTAGCAGTGAGAATTGCTTCAAGTTACTAGTGACACGCTATACCACTTAGCCAAGCGGGCTCTTCTCTCTGGAATCTGTTGGTCGGGTCATTGACATTGCTCATTCGATGGTAGTCGAAAGGGCTTCGATCGCCATCAACGCGACGAGGATGCCTATACACTAGCAGATCGGTAATGGTGATAGTGGTCTTATAGCCCCTGCCCGATCTGAGAAATCGTGAAAGGTTGATGTAGTGGATAATCGAGTTGAGCATGACTTAGAAAGAGACAATGTTCAATAGCCCTCTCTTTATGGATAGCGTTAAGTTTCTTTCATGACTTTTAATATCGAAAACACCCCGTCGTAGGCTTCAAGTTGAGTGGTAAGCACCGCAATCCACGGACGTACTCGCTTACTTCGATTGCCATGGCGCAGCTTTGAATTTTGGGAAAGGGAATATCAAAATAGTAGATAGGGTATTTTAACCCTTCGTGACACGAGGCTTTGTGTTTAGCTTGACGTGTTATTCACTACCTACCCCTAAATGCTACAGACCGACAACTTAGGATGTTTAACACTAGAGCTGAGCGTAGAACAATCGCAGCTAAAAGAATCAAGGGTAGATTGTTTGCAACGATGCCGTTTCCTTGCTCCTCGACATCGAATGAGCCATCGATCCAAAACTCTTGAAGTAGGCTAGCTTGATTGTACCGTTAGAAACGGAAGTTCCGATTCGCGACAGTTGATCTCTCAGACGGACTTCCTGCATATTTCGCTTTATGGTGATATCTTTGCTTGCTGCTCGCTGCTACGGATAACTATGACGGGTGCGGATAATCGTAGTAACACTGTTGTATAAGGTATCACTGTGGTTTATGTGTCCTGCTAGAGGCTCGAAGGCCTGGCACTCCTCATTGTGCCCGCTCATCGAACTATCAGTGGACTAGAGATCATACCGGGCCCTTTACGGATGCCCATGTCCATCGCGGGTTTGCGGGCCCAAAATAACGAGCAAGTGATTTGTCGTTTATTGCAGCGCACTACATCGATTTCTCCAGGAGCCCTTTTAGCCATATACTAGCTAGATAATCACCATTAGTCTCCGACTCTAGAGCCACACGCAGGCTATCTAGCGCACGCAAGCAGTCTGAATCCCTGGTTATGTCTCGGTTGATGTGGTTCTCGATCATAGAGTATTATTTCATGAACCTATACCCAGGAAATTGAGACCTCTGTTATCTCGTCAAGGTCGCGAGCCGCATTGGCCGCCCTAACTGGCTCTCAATGGCGGGTACAAAGTCGCCGTTCTCAGCAGCGCAGCGAGGAAATCGTCCTATACCCGGACCATATGTTATGTTCTGTAGTGTCGAATCTTACAAGTGATGTAGCGCGCTTGCAAACGCCATGCCCGGCCGGCTTAGTGGCTCCTAAGTGTTGATATGGATATCAAGATCAGATATATCTCATAAGGGGCGTGGTGATAAAAGCTTCATGAGAAGAGACATATCATTGCTTCGAGCACTAGATGCGATGCAGTCTAGCCTCGAGTGAACGCTAAGGAAGCGGTCATCATTTGAATTAGCCTAGACTGCGGAGAGGACAAGAGGAGCATCGCGATATACCCCAGCTATACACTCGGCCGCGCTACGCTAGTCTTCGGCATGGACGTGCACGATACAGGAACCATCAAGTTAGAAGGAGAGTGCGGACGATAGTAGCAGCGTGTTGGAAGGTACCGGTGATGGTAGGACCATTTGAATGGAGATGCAGCGAGCTTGAGGCTTTCTAGCGATCGCTTAGAGCTATGCATAGATAAAGGTGTCTGCCTCGTCGCTGTTTTCTTGTGGGAAGATTTCATTACTATTCTATCCATCGTTGACGTCGAGAAACCTGGTCAGCAAGGCCCGTCGCCAATTTTTCGTAATGCTGACACTTGATGTTGACATGGGAGTTGGCGCCGCCCAAGTCTTAAGAGCCGACGATGTTATTAACCTGTCTAAACACAACAGGGGGTAGTATCAACACCCGGTACTGTACAGTACTGAGCCTATGGATATGGGTCCTTGGCGGCCTTCTATCTGGTTAGTGATGTCCCGGACAGCTATCCCCCCGCTATAAGATAACTAGGCTAGCCCTCAGATACCGTTCTTGGCATTGATTTCATCGCCCCAAGTCTCTCGTCAACAGCCTAGACTAGACCATTGGTGTTAGAAATAACCATTGCGCCAAAGTCGCACTTATACAGAAAAACGATATTATCATATTTCTAGAAAAAAGGCGGGGGGGATAGTGTCTCTAAGCTCAGTGGGAGCAGTGCCGTGAGCAGCTGAGCTCAGGGGCGCCCAAGTACATATTCAAGAACCTACCTAGGTATTTAAGTGCGTGTATAGGCTACCTAGGCAGCTATAGCAGGTATCTACCTACCTAAGCTACCTAGGTAGGTACCTACTCATAGTGGAATACTGAGTCTTCCCCCAATCTTCTACTACGCAACACACCACCGCATCTATGTATCTAAATTTACCTTTCATTGTAACACTTGGCTGTTATACATATATATTATCTTCTCTCCTAGGTAGTTCACATGCAACGGCTTTTCCGAACAGCGTCCCCCACTAGGTATTTCTATGCTCTGCCCTGGAGATCTCGGGACTATTCCTTAGGTACCCAAGCCCATCAGCTCGATAGCCTAGAGTTTGGGGCCATCAGAGTTTAACGGTCTCTATCCTAACCCCTCACTTTCCAAAGCCAGTATTGAACGATCTGTTGGAGTGTGCCTCACCTTTCCAATGTCATGGATACATACTCGGACACGGGTTCGAATTGGTCTCGATTATTCCGAGCAGCCCTTCGTATGAGCTAACGCTAGAACAAGCTATGCGTGGTGTGAATTGCGAAAAAGGGAATACGAAGAATTGGGAATACATCCCACCATTCTTTAATCATGCAGTCATGGGGATCACAATGTAGACATATATATGTCATTTCTAAGCCGGTTGACTCGTGGACGGAGAGAATGCACCGCTGCCGCTCCCGGGATATGGCAGGGCTAACTGTTATACTTCAGCTAGAAACGAGACTAAACACAGCTGAGACCAGTCTAGATTCTATCACCCCTTAGGTTATCTGGACGTCCTGTCCATGTGTAGTCTGGCAGAGCATCGCAAGCACCGTACACAAGGATGATTTCCAAACCCGGCGAAGACAAGCGGACTCCTGCTCCATCGCAGTGTTTTGGGATCTCACTTAGCTATTGGGTACAAACATCGTGCGTTTGTGTCGCCCGCTTCGAAAGAGGCGCATGTTTAGGTGCTGGCCTATGTACTTCTCCGTCTTTCGGTTACAGGCACAACTATTAGCATGGCGACAAGTAACATATCAGAATCTGCGAGAGAGCGCGAGACATTCCGGTTGGTCAATCTTGTTGGCTACTCGGTAGTTTTTCTATTTATGGTGTAACTATAAACTAACTACATTTATGCAGACATGACCCGAACTTGTTATTAGATATCAAGTACAACGACACGGGCGAGTTGGTTCCCACCTTGGAGCTTTCTACCAGAACGGATCCAATCCTAACCGCACTCGCGCAATTAGGAGCCTGTCGCACAGGGGCGTCCCGGGCCTTTATATCCCTTTTTGACCGGGCACATCAGTACATTATCGCGGAGGCAACGCAGACATCATCTTTGCGCCCTGACACTAACTGTGATGAAGCTCCGTATGAGCCATTTTGGCTTCAGGGGACAGCTATCCCCCGGAGCAATGGGGTTTGTCAACGATTCCTGAATACGATTAAATCTGCAAAGGATGGCTGTAAAGCCGATTTACCTGTGAACGTGATTCCTGATATCCGCGCCGACCCCTATTTATCAGCGGACTCTTGCGTTTTATTAGGATCCCCCACCCGAGGTTACGTTGGGGTGCCCATTCGAAGCCGGAACGGGGTCGATTTCGGCGAGTATAGCATTGTCACAGAACACCCTATCCAGGCAGACGAATGGAGCGACACAAACTCGAAACTCCTTCGGGAAATCTCTCAGTCTGTATTGGATCATCTGCTTTCAAAAGCTTCTAAGGTTGAGAGAAATAGAGCTGAGAAGAAGGCCCTTGGTATTGGGTCCTTCGTAGAGCAAAGATCAACGCGCCCACAGCACGGCCCAACCCACGACATAGACAACGAGGCACCCATCACCAAGGACACAACGAATTTTAGAGACAATGCCCCTAACAGCAATAAAAACACGAATTCCAATTTCATCTGGCCACCTCCGCAGTCAGATCCAATCACCGGAAGTCGTCGCCAGCCACTCCGCCCAGCAGAAATAAGTGAATGTCTAGGGGGTTGTATCACACCCCCAAGCGAGTCACTCGATGTTAATGCACCTCAAACGGACCAATCTCTACAGCGCAACTCAGCCCCAATAGAAAAGGATCCCTTAACTGTCGTTTTTTCTAGAGCCGCAAATATTATTCGGGAGAGTGTCGATGCAGAGGGCGTGGTTTTTTTTGATGCGAACGTCGGCTCGTTTAACTCCTTTGGTCAACAAGTTACAGGAAGCGACGCATCACAATTTATATCGTCTCAGGAAGAATCATGGAGTAGTGATGATGCAAATGACGAATCCGGTCGTACACGTAACGACCTTCATGTCATAGCCTCTTCAACATCAGAGGCTTCCACAATTGACAGAGGGATGTACAATTCGGATCGGAGGCGAATGTCTTTCAAAGCTCTATCGGCACTCTTGCGGCGCTACCCACAAGGCACCATCTTTGACTTCGATGAACATGGCAAACCCCAACCAACCACGTCTTCAAACAACAATGGCCGATCTGCTACCAGCAAAACTCCCACGCTGACTAAACGGCGCACACTTTCATTTATTGGTAATCTTGGTAATGAGGTATTGAAATCTTTTCCGGGAGCTCGAAGCGTGGCCTTCGTCCCCGTTTGGGATCACATCAAGAAGAGGTGGCGCGCGGGTTGCTTTGCGTATACTCTCGATAAAACTCGTTTCTTTACCACCACCGGCGACATCAGCTATCTTCGTGCCTTCGCCACGCTAGCAATGGCCGA